GAAGCCGTCCCAATGGCGAGGCCAGCTTGTGCTTGGATCCAGGCAATAATATTCATTGGTTTAATTTAAAATCTCTGATCCCCAAACCAACATGCTTCCCAGCTGTGGACAGATTGTAGCGCCTGAGCTGTTAGACTTTGAAGGACTCTGGAGGGACTGAAACTTGTCAATTTCTTTTTGCCCTTCCCTTCTCTCTGAACTTAAGTTTATTTTAAACTTTAAAAAATATATATATATATATTTTTTTATTGCGAACAATACTGGAACATGTTTTTCTTCCTTAAGAAAATACGGATAAAGTTAAAGTGCCCCAGACAAGGTACCCTCAATCCTGGACCACTCCCCTCTATTTCCAGAAGCAATACCATCATGTAGGATGTGCCCCCAACCCTCCTCAGCACCTTCTCATAAACCTGTTTACCCACAGCATGGGTGTGGGGGGTTTATTTAAAGGAATCAGCCCACATCGGTCATGTTTTTTGCATCCATCACCCAGCCTGTGGCCTGGAGACCCATCCGTGCCGGGACATATGGATCCATCTCATTTCCCCTAACTCGTGTTCAGCCTACGACTCGCTGGACCTGCCTTCCAGATAAGCTCCAAGAAGGCAGAGGTTTGTTCTCTTGTTCACAGATGATTCCCAGTGTCTAAAACAGGGCCTGGCAGTCGTTACTCAATAATGATTCCGTGAATGAGCGAAGAGAGGAATAAATGAATGACCCGATGCAGGTAACCCACCCTCTACTCTCGGGTATGTCGCTTCCTTCCAACTTTTCACCAACACAAACAGTGCTGCAACGAGCACACCCGCATATGCTCCTGGGTTCACTTTTGAGGAGCAGTAACTGGTGGGGGCTCCCTGAAGCCTCAAAGAGCACAGTTTGAAATCCTCTTGTCAGGCCAAAGCCTTCATTTCATGGATGAGCACAGAGGGCCCAGAGAGGGCAAACAACTCGGCCAAGGTCACCCAGCATATTAGGGATTGATTAGAACCTCAAGGATAGTTTGAATTTCTCTTCCTTCATTGACTCTCTTAGTACTTATATTTTCTCTCACCCCTAGCCTGTGTAGCTCAGGACGGTGACTTTAGGAGCAGAAAGTCTGAGTCACTTGGCATAGAGAAGACTCTCCAGAATCAGGAGTCCGGGGTTTTTGTCCTGGTATGGAATTCTCGAAGGATCTGGGTAAATCACGTCCCCTCTCTGAGCCTCAGTTTCTCTAATCTGTAAAACTGGCCTAGCACTTCTTGCCTAACTCTTGAAGTGAGGATGACAAGAAGAGTTGATAAAATAGAGAAACAGCATAGGCATCTAAGAGAGGGCTAGTTCAGTTTAAAAGGTAGAATTTTTTAAAACAAATTTCAGGTTAAAAGATATGGTATGTTTCCACTTCTGTAAAAGTGAAAAAGAAAAAAATAAGTTTGTATAAATACGGAAAAAGTGACAGCCGTTACCCAGCAAATGTTAACTGTCAGCGGTTTCCTGGGAGTTCAGAACTGCAGAGAAAGGAAGGGGAAGCTATTAACATTTTCTTGCTACCCTCAGTTTTGTTGATTTTGTAAAAGCTTGACACAACAAAAGATGTATTTACATACTAAGCATGTAAGCTCAAAAAATCAGAAGTGAAAAGATAAATATTGTTATAGAAAAAAATTTAAAGCAGAAGTCATGAATAATCCATTTACGAAAGCAAAAATACAAATAGCTAAACAAGAAAAAGGGCCAAATCTTAGGGTGATCAAATACTTACAAATGAAAGCAACAGTGAAATTCCTTTTCTTTTGCTTATCAAACTGTAAAGTGATACGAAATGGAGACGAAAATGTTTTTGCCCTGGAGAGAGGGAGATCAGAGTGGGGATTAGCAGGAAGGTGGGGACCCCGCCCCCTCACAGTGATGACATCTCCATCCTGTCCTGCTGCCCTGCGCTCTGATAGAGCCATCCCGAGACCAAGGAGAGATGACAGGGGAGAGTCACTGCTTCTTTTGGCTTCTACCTCCTCCGACCACGGCGTCCTCTGGCCCCCTGCCCCCAGCCAGGGACACTCTCCCCTCATCAGAACTAAATCCCTTTCTTCTGATAAGAGTCCTGGATCCTGTGACAAAACCAGAAATGATTGGGAAAGTGCCTGGTGAACACAGATCGTGTCCTTCTCCGGAAGGAATTGCTGGGTTCAGAGCAGAGAATCTCGGTTGTGGGGTCAAAGGTCATCTCTGCTAAGCCCCTGCCTCTAAGCAGAACTGCCCCAAAGGCTTTATTTTGGTGTTTTTTTGTGGGAATCCAATGACATGCTAGAACAAGCCATTAGCAGTCATCTGGTCCAATAGCCTCATTTTATATAAGGGGAAACTGAGGCACAGGAGGACTTATGAGAAACCCAAATCACCCAACCAGTTAAATGGAGCTCGGTCTAGAACCAAGGTCTTTTGACTCCTGGTCCAGTACCCTTTCTGCCTAGATTCATCATGGCCATATCTTTTCTTTGTGGACTGGATCTGTTCTTTAATCCCTGTATATTGAAGTCTATTTTCTCCCTAATTGTGGCTAAAAATCCCACTTGTTCACTTGGGAAAGGAAGTGGTCGTGAGATATATGTTCACAATGGAGATCATATATTTAAGAGAGAAAAAATACAGTTCCGATACAGTTCTAATAAACAGCATTAATCATAAATAGTAAATTTCAATCAGTAAGTACTAAAATTAAATTGTGTTAAACAATAAAAAAACTTAAATAAAACAATAAAAGTCGCCTGACTCTATCACAATATACAAATGCACAACACAGGGCATTGTTATCGTGCTTGGCACACGCCTTTGCCTTTATTTTGCTCAGCACATTCCCCTTGGCCAGGAAGATCTGCCTGGGGAAGAGATGGAGGGCAGGGTAAGACGGCCCAGCAGCAGTTCGGTCTCTGTCTGTCACAGAATTCCTGTCAAGCGCTTACCTACCGGCTAAAAACGTGTCTTGGTGTTAAGCAGATTCTCTTTTAAAATTCTCAAGTAAAGACTATAAAATGTCAAGAGTAGGGCTAGGCAAACTTTTTTGGTAAGTAGCCAGATAGTAAATGTTTCCGGCTTTGCAAGTCCTCTAGTCATTTTGCAAGGATTCACTCTGCCACTGTACCTTGAAGGCAGTCACAGGCAATATGTAAACAATCCATCATGACTGTGTTCCAATAAAACTTTATTTATAAAACAGGCAGTAGGGAGGATTTGGCCCTCAGGCTATAGTCTGCCAACTGCTGGTCAAGAGCGTGGGCTTGGGAGTCAAACTTGAATCGGAATCCCAATTCTGCTGCTGCTTCGTCTGTGAGATCTTGAACTGGCATAATTATTCGAGCCTCATCTGCAGAATGAGGATGCTAATTGTACCTGGTCACAAAGCAGCTACTCAGTGGTATACCACTCAGCTCTGGCATGTCGCAGATGCTCAATAAGTGGCACCTAAACAGGTAGGACACAGTCCACTGTGCTGGAAGACACCAGAGTTCCGATTCTAAATTCATTGCCCCTACCAGCCGTTTAACCTCAGCCAAGTATGCCACTTACCAGCTCCAAAACTCTGCTTCCTCCCCCCATAAAATGGGAAGAGAAACTCATTTATTGCCAGAACCTTCATATACATTCTTGCTTAACTCTCACAACAGCCCTTGTAATTGTTACTATCTACAATTTACAGAAGAGGAAACTGAGTCACAAAGAGGTGAAGGGCCATTTAGCTAGTAAGTGATAGAAACCAGATATTTAAACAGAGACTGTCTGACTTCAAAGGTCGAGATATTTCTTTCCACTCAACTGTGTTGCCTCCCTAGAAAATGAGAAGAGGAGAAGAGGTGTAGGCTGCGTACAGCGTTCTGATCCGTACATCTGTGAACTGCTGCATCGCCCATCTGGTACCTGAATCTCCTCCCAGCATCCCTGCCCAGCCTCTGCGTCTCCTCCACCAGAAGATGGGGGGTCAGTACTGGACTGAACAACCCATTTTCTCTTTGGTCAACACTGACTGTGGTAAGGTCTTGGATTGAATGAACCTCCATCCCCATCATTTCTGCCCAAGGGTCCAAATGCTTTCTTTGAGGACCCCCCAAACCTTGATCACCCTTCTTCTACAGGATGCTCACCCAAGATTTGATCATCCCTTGATTCCACAGCTCTGTTCCTGCAATTGCGCCTCCTCCCAGAGGACGTGGCATGGAGGCCCCCCCGCATTCCCGCTGCCCCACCCTAGGAGACTGCTCCGATGTGTCTATACCCCTGGAATACTGTGGCGCCTAGATCTGCGTTCCTGCCCAGCGGGCTGAGATGTCACGAAGGTGAGTCAGCTCGTGCCCATGATAACATCTACATAGCCAGCCTAGGAGGCAGGTGTTTCTTGCACTGGAGCGATGAGTTTGGGACACAGAGGAGCCTATCCTGTGCTTGCTGAGCCTTCCCCTGCGGGGGGCGGGGTGGGTGGAGAGAACGTCAAGAAGAAAGGCCACTCTTTCCGAGAACAACCTTTTGAGATGGGAGGATCTTGGTCTGACTCACAGAAACCAAGTCTTCAAGAACCTGTACCGAGAGGTGGGGTCGGAAGCACTGACCAGGCAGGCCATAGTGAAAACCAGCTTTGTGCTTTCTGAGGCTGAGAGCATGCGGAAGCTCTGCTAAGGTCAACGTGCTCATTCAGAAGGCATTGATGCCCCAGCTGCTGGGCAGGGCTGCTGGGCTGGAGCCAAGATACTGGATTCTATTCACCAACCCCATTGAAAAACTCCTGTGATGTTGGGCCAATCACATCTCCTCTCTGGGCTTTGGTTTTCCCATCTGTGGGATGACTGGGTGGGAACTCCTTAGCTTCTCAGAGAGACAGTATGGCCCAGTGGTAGGAGCTCAGAGCTCTGGGGTCAGACAAACCTGTACGTGCACCCAGCTCTGCCTCTTCCTGGCTGTTTGACTGCAGGCAAGTTACTTAACCCCTGAACCTTGGTCTTCTCATCTTTACAATGGGATAACAGGTGCTCGCTTCAGCAGCACCTAGGCTAAAATTGGAATGGTGCAAAAAAGATTAGCATGGCCCCGGTGCGAGGATGACATGCAAATTCGTGAAGCGTTCCATATTTTGTTTCTTCGTTTTTTGATATCTGCGGGTGGGGAAACTGAGGCTGGATAAACCAAGTGACTTACCCAATGGAGGACACTTCTGGGTTCAAATCCCATCCCCTCCAAAAATAAAAAATAAAAAATAAAATGGGATAATGGTAGAGTGCTCCATGTGCCTGGCCCCACTCAGCACTCACTGAATGGGGGGTGTTGTGGTGGTGATCCGAGGGCCATCCACCTCAGTATTCTGAGATTCTACACGTGGAAGTGCGAGAGATGGGGTGCATACATGGGACGGGGCTGTTGGTAAGACCCTGAATGACACCCCGGTCCAGTTCTGAGGGACACTGGACCTCCAGCCATCTCTGCTACCTACACATGTCCTGCATGCTCCTCCTGCCAGGCCTTTGCCCTCTCTGGTTCTCTCCCGAGTCCAGAATGCCTTTTCTGCTTAATAAAATATGTCTGGCAAAAAAAATGGCAGCCAGAAGGCACATGCATGTGCCTCTAACATTCAGGCAAGGGTCTTTCCTGCATGCCTTTTTTCTGTCTTCAGAATGTGCCTGAGCAGAATAAAACCTGGGTGCTTAGAATCACAGACTCATAGGAAGAGAGTTGCAAGGGATCATTTATTCATTCCACAAACAGTTCTTGAGCACCGACAGTGTGCAGGCACTGTGAACGGGACCTTGGAGAACACCACCAGGGGCTCTTACAGAGGGTTCTCAGAGGAACTCTCAAGGTCTAAGAACCCCTGAATGTATAAATAAAGTTTGAAATCTGCACATGTAAAATGTCCTTCCAAGACAGATACTCTGACATCAGACTGCCAAATGCCGGTGTCTCCAAAATGTTAAGAGCCACTGGTTCAAGCCCACCACCCAATTAGGCCTTGTTCACAGTTGGGGGAATTGAGGCCTAGGACAGGGAAATGACTTGTTCAAGGTCACACAACTAGTCAAGGGCCCAGGCAGGCCCCTCCAAACCTCCACATCTCCAAGAGAAGACCCCTTCGTTTGTTGACAGGGGGTGGCTGCAGAAGGACGAGCAATTGAGCTGATTCTCTGGATTCTAAGGAGCCCCTCTTCTGAACCCTCCACTCCCCACCACACACCCACAAATACACACACACACAAATAACACACACTCCCAGCGTCTTTCACAACATCCCCCAGGTTCACCCACCAGAGGTCTGGTGTTGGGCCTGCCTCAAGTCGAATGCAGATAACCTCTCTCAGGATGTATAAACATCCAGTGGGCGTCCAGGGCAGAAGAATGTAGAAATAGCTTCTTTTCCCTGTGACCACTGGACACCTTCTGCCAGACCGTGTCGAAGTTACAGTGACCTCTCAGGCCTGGGCCTGAGGCCGTTTGAGTCCCCGTCTAGTGTCCCCCAGATGTTTTCTCACTGCCGATGACTTCTGCAACCTCAACAAAGAAGGCTTCTTAAGCGCCAGGATCCTACCCCCTCTCTCCACGCGCCTTTGTCCGAGCCCCACACCTTCCGTGGCTTGCAGCCGAGAAGCCAGGGGTTGCCAGCTGTGGGCTGGCGCTTCCTTCAGAAGGGTGTTAACGGCGGTTTCGGGAGATTTTATGTGGAGACAAGTGGTTTGAATTTAAAGGGAGGGCACAGGGGAGCTAATTAGAAAGCTTACTTGCGGTAAATAGATATTTATTTTATCCTACTTTTTAGAGAACTAAATCTTAGAAAAACAGAACTGAGCTGGAAATGAAAGCAACACCTTTTTTTCCCCTTCAGCTACAATTTGTTTCCAGGTTTAAAAAAAACAAAAGCCCTCCAAAAATTTGGTCAGAAGAATCAAGTAGAAATGCGCTGAAGCTCTCTCCGAACGGAGGGACGAGAAAATGTGGCAGACCATCCTCCCTGCGACTCCAGGGACTGTGGGTTTGGTCTCAGCTCTGAGGAGGCAGAAGGGAAGCAGGCACAGGCATACGTGGAGAGCTTCGTGGAACCCTGCCGTCCGCCCGGCGTTCCAAACACAGTGTTGCAAACTGTTGCCCATGTTTGGAAAGAGAAAAAATGGAATCTCACTCCCATCTTTATTCACTTCTTCTGGTTGCTATTTGCCAATTCTACTTAACCTAGGAGAAATACGGGGATGAATTCTGGATGTGTTCAGAGTGGCCTGGAATCCATTTTTGGCAATAGAGACTGTGTCATTGAATTACATGATACTCCTTGCATGGCCAGTGTGCGTGCACAGGCGCGCGCACACACACACGTACACACACTCAGCTCTGCTCAAATGCCACCCTCCTCACACAGCCTTCTCCTTGGCCCTCCACCTAGACTCCCCTTCTGTTTCCTCAGGACTTGCAGAGAACTTGGAAGCTTCCTCTCTTCTAGAACTTTCTATGCTCAGCCTCACATCAGAATTATTCATGCAAATGAAAATCTCCTCCAGTCGTCAGGAGAGAATTCAAAGGCCCCTTCACACAGACAACAAAGAATAAACAGAATCAAGTTCCTTAGAGTCAGAAATACTAATAGAACCTCCTCACAGTGCTGTTGTGAGAATTAAGTACCTGCAGCTTGGCCTAGAACATAGTGAGCGCTCAGCAAATATTTGATGGAACCCGTGATGTCAGGAAGGACATGCTTGAGGCTGTCACTTCCAGACAATACTCCTTCCCCATAACAGAACTGAGACCGTAACATATTGAGGGTTCTCGATCTAGGTGTCCAATGACATGCCTTTTGACCAACAGACTCAGAACTATAAAAATGAGAGTTGAAGGAATCATTTATGGAGTTATGAATTCAACTAATATTTGGTGGTTACGTTATTGATCTTATAGTTGGATCCTAAATCTATATAGTCATTCACTCCAAGTTGGAAAACATCTCAGAAATTCATCTTTCCGTCTTACCCAGGCGTCTCCCTGATGGATGGCCATTCAGCCTCCTGAATACTTGTGGCGATGAGCCTCCGCTGTCAACACTGTGAGGAGTCAGAAAGCGTATTCTGGTGTTGGGCTGAACTCTGCCTTCCTGAATCGTCCACCCACTGGTCACCCACTTTCATCCTTCATGACTTCTTCCCCAGGGGACCTTTGAGTTATATGAAAACAGCTCTCCCGGCTGTCCTACCCTACTCCAAAACTCTAAGTCTTTTCAGACCCCAAATGGAAATTTCTGGAAAAGACAAGAAAATTCTCTTGTGTCATTGTGGTTCAAATGACCTCCCAAGATGCATGTGTATCTTTCGTTTTTATCTGGCAAGAAAGGCCCAAGTTGTCCCCAAATCCTGAGTCCATGGGCTCCTGTGGCATCTCTGGGCTCTGGTGGCACATCTCCCAAAGCCTGTGTGAAGCCAGGGTCACCACATTTGTGCTACCTCCCTCTCATCTCATTCCCTCAAGGCCATGTCCAGTTGAGAAAAATCCCTATTTCAAAGAAGGAAGAAAGAAAGAATCTAAATGGGGTCAGGAGAACTGGGTTCCCCCACTGGCAAGCTGTGAGCTTTAGGAAAGTGCCTTTCTGGGACTCAGTTTCTCCATTTGTGTAATGGACTGAGTGATCCCTGAGGGCCCTTCTGGAAGTAAAGTTCGGACAAAGAAGAGGGATATCAGATCTGGACAGAGGTGCCTGATGCTGCCAGATGGGGGTTGCCATGGAAACCACTTTCTCCATCTCCAAAGTTCTCCCATTCCAGAGGGGACTTGCAGCTGTGCCTCCTGCCTGGAATGGTCGTCCCCCTGCTTTGCACAAGGCTGGCTCCTCTCATCCTTTAGTCCTCTTCTTAAATGTCACCTTCCCTGAAGGACTTTCCTGGCCACCTCCAAACAAGCTGGTCTCCCCCACGCCCTGTTTCTTTCCTCCCAGCACTGGTCACCATCAGAAATGATTTTACAGTAGCCCCTGCTTTTCCAGGAGGGGTACACTCCAAGACCCCCAGTGGATGCCTGAAACCACAGATAGTACGGAACCCTGTATATATTATGTTTTTTTTCTATACATACATACCTATGATAAACCTTAATTTATAAATTAGGCACAGCAAGAGATTAACAATAACTAATAATAAAATAGAACAATTATAACAATATACTGTAATAAAAGTTACCATAGATCTTAGCAACCTCAGCATACAAATTTTTCTTTCCTTGTTAAGTCAAGGATTTTCACGTTTTCACTTAAAGGAAGCCCTTTATGGCTTCTTGTTGGCATATCCAAATTGCCAGCATCACTACTCTTGTGCTTTGGGGAAATTCTTAAGTAAAATAAGGGTCGATTGGACACAAGTACTGTGATACTGCGACAGTCGATCTGATAACCAAGACGGCTACGAAGTGACTAATGGGTGGATTCACAATTCAGGCAGGGCCCAGCTGGATGGCAAGAGATTTCATCATGCTACTCGGAATGGCATGCAATTTAAAACTTATGAATTGTTTATTTCTGGAATTTTCCATTTAATCTTTTTGGGCGGCAGTTGACCATGTGTAAACTGCAGAAAGGGAAACCTCAGGTAAGGGGGGACTACTACATTCCACTGTATCTGTTTGTAACATCTGTGTCCTGGTAGATGTCAGCTCCATGAGGACAGGAATGCTGCCCTGTTCCCTGCTGCATCCCAGGTCCCCAGCACAGGGTCCGGCATGTAGTAGGGATTCAATACGTATTGAATGAATGAACACATGAATGAATCAATGAATGAGTGAATGAGCCTATGGACCACGCCCCTCCCGGGAACCGCTTCCTTCTCCTCCCTCCTCTCTGTCTCCTTTCTCCCTTCCTTCCTCCTCCTGGTTCACCCCTCCTTTGCCCTCATCTGACATTTTTATTTCAACTGCCAAGTGTTTTACGCCTATTCTTCCTTCTCCTCTTCTCCACCTGTCCACTTCACATGCACCCTCAAAACCAACGTGTACCCTGCCGCCACCACCTTCATGAAGCCCACCGGATACTTGGAGGGCTATAGCCCTCCAAGCTGTAGCCCACAGAGCCCTCTGCCTTTTCAGTCATCTAACCCCCTTATTGATCTGGAGCCCTGCCAT